TTTGTATTTTTATCTCTGCATAAGAGAGCAACTAACCAGACTTTCCTTATCATGCTAATGGGAGCTAGTTATCTTAAGGTAAAATAATATTAATTGTATCCAGAAGAGTTAAATAATCTCCAGAAGGAGGAGGAAGTACCGGAGGAGGTGATGATGACGTCATGAGGTGCCGTCATGTGTGAACACTCTCGTAATAGACTATATAGATTGTATAATTGAATTGATGTAACAAGTAATATTCATTATTAACACTTAGCTGAGATCGTTCCAAACAGATCATGTTACACTACTACCGCGTTTAATAAACATTGTTGGTCAAATTTAAATAAGCACTTATAATCTTGAGGTTTCTATAGTGTAATAGTTTGATTGGAAATTAATCAGTGAATATTTGGTGCTGTGAAATTTCGAGGCTTTGTTTTGTAACCAAGAAATCACCTTTCGTTAGATTGGCCATTTATCTAGCTCTGGAATTTTAATTTTTAATTTCATAGAACCTAATCGGAATTTATTTGGTCGGACATTGCGTGGGTGCTAGATGCTTAGCGTCCGCGTAATGTCTGTCCAAATTAACGTTTGGCTACCATGTACGTTCGTGATAACAGAATTTTGTGCGTTCATAATTATGTCCGCCCAAAATTACCTTTGTCTACACAATGTCCGCTCAAATAAGGTCCGATTAGGTATTTTTTTAAGTGCTTCATTAATAGTTCCTCAGTATCAAAATTCGCGGTATAGCTTAAAATTTAGCTTAAATATCCGACATCAAAGAAATAACATTATATAATTAGGTCCGCTCTCTACTTTTCTTAAAATACTTTTTTAACTGCAGCAGCTTATTCTGGAATATTATTTTAACACGTGCATTTTAAAATCATAATATGAGATTATATGCATTCTTAAAACAATCACTCTTGACTAATGAGTAATGATGGATTACAACAATTTGATAAGATTTAATCGTACATACTATTTAACATTTGCACTTAGTAACACTAAACATTAGTTTTGCATGCTGTTAGTGATCTTAACCATTAATCATTTTTGTGACTTATGATCGATAAACGGGGCTGATAATCATCGTCAGATCATAAAAACGCTAAATAGCAGTTATACGAAATATGGCGTATTTATTTCTATAACAACTTTCTTACTTTTATTTTATCGTCGTGGATCAGTTGTAGGGATAGCTTAGCTGCAGAACAACTGCGGCCACCATTCCGCACCAGGCGCCTATTCCCTAATATTATAATCATAAGCTTGCAAAATTTGGAGAATAGTGACTGGTCGCTGTAATCTGCATTTACAAATTTCAACTAGCGATGTAGTGTAGTAGTATTGAATCAGATAACTGTTATCGCAGACAGAGGGGCCAGACAATGAATATACTTTATTGTTGATAATAAAATCAAAAACATTGAATTACTGTTGCATTTTTACTATGCATTATTGCACTCGCCATTCTTGTTATAAGGATTTGGCAGGTAATTTGCTGACAGGAGGTGATGTACTGACAGGAGGTGATCTACTGGCAGGAGGTGATCTACTGACAGGAGGTGATCTACTGACAGGAGGTGATCTACTGACAGGAGGTGATCTACTGACAGGAGGTGATCCACTGTCAGGAGGTGATGTACTGACAGGAGGTGATCTACTGGCAGGAGGTGATCTATTGACAGGAGGTGATCTACTGACATGAGGTGATCTACTGACAGGAGGTGATCCACTGTCAGGAGGTGATCTACTGACAGGAGGTGATCTACTGACAGGAGGTGATCTACTGACAGGAGGTGATCTACTGACAGGAGGTGATCTACTGACAGGAGGTGATCTACTGACAGGAGGTGATATACTGACAGGAGGTGATGTACTGACAGGAGGTGATCTACTGACAGGAAGTGATCTACTGACAGGAGGTGATCTACTGACAGGAGGTGATCTACTGACAGGTGATCTACTGACAGGTGATCTACTCACAGGAGGTGAATAACCGAATAAGTTGGATGCCGACAGTGTAGTACTAGTAGCAAGGACAACCACCTGTTTGGGAGTATTTTTGTGTTTATTCGATAGTATGTTGTATCGTAATTTAGTTTTACGTAACGCGTGCCTTATAATTACATCATTACAGTGTTAGTCCTAGCGTTTGCTATTAGTATCATCAATTGTTGCATAGTAACTTGGATTTGGTTATAGTCTAACATACTATGTACTCCGACTCGTACATTGTACAAGCCGTATTAATGATTAAAGCTGTGGTAGATTCAAGGAGTCAAGCCGGTATTAATTGCATTCTTTAGTTCAACAACGTGTAGTTGTATTGCTCACATGGCATTATATTGTTTCCTTACAGTGTTATGTCAAAAGTTATACATTATCATTATCTAGCTGCTATAGCAGTGCTCTTATGAGATCCTTTATTTATGTTGGTAGTTTGTTTTCGGGGGCTGCTTTGATTTTAAAAGGGGGTTCGAACGTTGAAATCCATTTTTGAAATTTGCCCACAATGATTGATTATAATTGTAAACTAATTTAAGATACCGCAGATCAGGATGTTGTTGTTAGAACCGTTCTGGGTGTACTCGTCTGTGGCACTATGTGTAGCTTGTGGGAGAAAAGAACTTCTTAAAGTAGAGGATATCTGGGGAAACAGGTTCTTCTCAGGGATCATGGTCATGATAGCAGGAGTATTTGTTCCTGTGGAGAACTGGATCCTGCACAGGCACGCTGCCTGGGAGACCACCTTTATTGTCCGGAACGTATCAGACAGCACTCTGATCGCTCTGGCGTCCCTGCTCCACATCCTAATAGCTCTAACCGGGTACTGGCTCAGCATGCACCTTCTCAGGAAGTACGGAGAGGACGCTGTCATCAAGTCTACTATGTGGGCCTTCAGTGTATTCTTCACCTCCCAAGGGCTCTTTTACGACTCCCTGATGTACTCCGGTACTTACGATGAGTACCACGCTGGTGTAGAGAAAACCTTTGTCTCCTTCTTCTACACTGACCGGTTCTTTGACGCCTACATCATCTTCTTCTTATTGTATGGTCCGGTGTTCTACTACCTGGCCATATCCTGGAACAGCGGGTACAGCACCGAGGAGAGGAACACCTTCATCTGGAAGCTGGTGAACGAGGTGGTCCTTCACGCTGCAGCCATCTTCGGAGCTTACTTCTTTGTTTGCGGAGCAGGCGTCCTGCCTGCCAAGTTTGGGTTGTATCGTCTCCTCCCAATGTTGCTCATGCACTTTGTGTCACATGGTCTGGTGGTCCTGCCTCTTCTTCTTTCATCCACCAAGGAGCGTGAAGATTGAGGACTGCTATATGGTTGTACTTGTAGATGTTGTTTTACCACGAAGAAGACTGACAGTCGTAATATATTATATTTGTAGTGTTGCTGGGATTCTTTCGAACTTCATCAGTCCTTACTGTTGACCTTAATAACTTATTTGGGGGCTATAAAATTAAAATAGAAGTGATGTCGCTGAATTATTGATCGGCATAACATGTGTTTTATTAATGTGTTTTAGTTTAAAGAATGAGATAATAAAGTCGCCTGATCCTCACCTTATTGACTTATTAAAACGTTTTGCCTCATATGTCATAGTAATGACAAATAATAACGTATTGTTTACTTAATTGTGCAGACACGTTGACTCGCAGTTTTTAAAACGAACCGGAGTGATATTTGTTACAATCTTATTGCGGGAAATTACACGCAGTATAATATGCAAATTATTGTTAGTGGAAAATTATCAATTAACATTTAACCTACATAAGCATGAAATTTAAATTTCGCTTTAAATTTTCAGCCTCGTAACCATATTGATATACAACTGTACAGCATGAGCTTAAGTTGTTTTAGTTTTACGCCGAACTAGTAAAGATAACCCGTTTCACTTTGCTGTTTGCTTAGACACCGAATATTTTATTTAACTATTAGTATTGCTATTATTATAATTAGTATTAATCATTAATGATCCCATGAATTATATTTATAATAAAATGGATGGTTTTAATTTCGTGTAACTGTAATAGTGTAACGTGTTTATGTTTTAGTATCACGACCAAGCTGCTTTATTTCTACTCACCAAGTCACGACTTAACTCTATGACATCAAATTCGAATTATAAAAGCTGAATTGCTTTCAAATTTACCATCTATTTTTATAGGCGAGGATTAATGAACAAAAATTATTCCTTGATTAAAACGCCAATAACGTTACCTAGGGCCGGGGCCTCAGGCTTTTCTGTTCATAAACTAAAACAAAGCCTGACGAAAATGAAGCATGTTAAACTTAAAGTTAAACGCCGATTGTAGAATGTAGATGCAGCGGAATGACAGGAACCGACCGGAATGGGCTCTTGGCCGGGCCGGATCTACCGGAAAATTTAAATTGATCCTTATTATTGGGCTTTTGCCATTATCAATTATGATATTAATCCTTATAACTATAAGCCATAGTTCGTAATTACACAATAAGTTCCGCATTTCTCAGAGCTATACGAGCAGACCGATGATGTTTACTGTTTTAGTTTAGGCATATGGCTATAGGCATAGCAGTAGACAATTTCAAATATCAAATCAACAAGCAGTACGTTCAAACAAGAGTAAACATTAAACAAGAAGTATTGAAGTAACAAGAGTAGACAAGTTATTATCAGAAATGATATGCAATTGGTATATCCTACCATACCCCTTAATTGAGTGGGATTGCACGTGTGAGACACAGTTGCTCCCTTTTTGTCATGCAGGTCTGAATATCAATTATCAAAATTCAAAGCAGAATAGTTCCCGATTTAGGGCACAATTGTACCTTTATTATACTTATAGCATGCAGGCTCATCTAATCACTGGCTCGTTCGGCCAATTAAATGACACGGTAGGTTTTCCGAAGTCCGCACCTACCCCTCGGTACACAATTTAGGTTTTATGTAAAACCGTTTTGTTCGGGTAAAAACCCAGGTTCCCTTTATATTACTTGGCTGTAATTTAAAAGATTCCGTGTCAATAATTAAATTTATCGTTCTTGTAGCTAAACTTATTCAAGGCAGACAAAAAGAAAAACAATTATTCTATCAGGTATAACTACAGAATCATAAACTCACTAAATTAGAATCTTTAATTATCATGTTTTAGTCAACAGAAATAACATTACTACATTTGTCACCACAGAATTGACATATCATTGATATCATTCTACTGTGTGATTTATCATTACTTGCGGGTCAACTAATTCCATCAGTGTTCAATCTATGTTGACTTATTAAAAACTTATACTACGCAAAGAAAATACCTACAGAAGAAATTAAACTAAACAGAAAATGTTATTGAAAGTCAGCAGTCGTGCAATTATATGTAATACATATCTAGGATTCGCAGAGTTGAGCGTACTTATAGTCTTTATTACCCTCCATCCTCTGCCTCATAGTAACAACTATTTTGAAGATGAAGATGACGGATACACCAGCTAGAAGTCCGATAAACAAAATGAAAGTGCCCATATTAAACTCCCACCTCGGCAAGCCAAGAGTCCTCTCGGTTTCATCTTCACTGGTTCCGTCTGAGTTATCTTCTGTTTCGTCTGCAGGATCAGGATATTCAACAGAGTACGGGTGTTCAAAGTTCAGTGGTGAGATAACTTCAGCATCTTCCAGTCTAGAAACGTCCAATACGTCAAACTCCTCTGCAACATAAAGCTCTTCCTCCCCAAAAGCAACATCTTCGGCAACGGTTGTTTTGTGATCCCTGTGCTGCTTAGTTACAGTTACATGTCTTTCAGTGGTTCGAGGTTTTGTCTCTTTTTTGACAGTTACATGTCTTTCAGTGGTTCGAGGTTTTGTCTCTTTTTTGGATTGCGTTAAGAACTTTGTAGTTGGTGTAGTTGGTGTAGTAGGGGTTGTTGTCAATGAAGCAGTCTTAGTAGTTGGAACACTCCCATCGGTAGATTGGCTCATTCTTCCCCGAAAAGCTTCCCTTTTACGACGTCTAGGATCCTCACATCTCCAAAATATGCTCTTAACCGCCGTGTAATAGGCGTTTATACTGTCCGCGTGTCCTTTATATAAGGAGTATTTGGAACCTGGGTCATCTCTTGCAGCTTTAGTGATATCAATTTCGCCGTCCAGCTTAAATACAGCGCTTATGAATATTCCTTCATTTCCACCCGCAGTCATTGGAGAGCAATCTGTTTCAGAAGGCTGAAACACACAATCCTCATTCTCAGCACATGGGAATTCAATATTCTTGAAACCACAATTATCTTTATCACCGTTTGCTCCACTGTTCAGTGTAACAACTAAATCCGCCACCGCTTGATCGGTTTCGCAATAACCGGTGCCAACACCAAGGAAAAGGCCAACTTTGAGCAATGAATAGTCAATAGCTATGACTTTGTTACAGGTGGTGATGGTTTCAGAATACTTTCCGGTGGAGAAGAGACAAGTGACCTCCGTCAAGGACGTATCGTACGGTTGATAGGTGAAAGACGTATCATCCGGAACGTGACACTTCAGGGAAGCAACTAAGCCTATTATCGTAGATGAGCTGTCCTCTTTATTTAAAAGTGTGATGTCTCCGTTGGCTCTTTCTAATGTGTTACATGGTTTTTGTACTTGATAGAAAGGTAAAACAGCTTCAACTGCTTGGCTGCTAACAGTTGTCTTGCAGCCGATGTTTTTCAAACTGTACCAATACAGGGTTTCGCTTTTCACAACAACTGTGGATAAGTTATTTTCGAATGTATGCGTCATTACTTCTGGTTTTTCCCATGCTTTTTTTCGTCTACCATTGAACATGACTTTCATGTAGCTGGGTCTTTCACTAGCTGTCACGGTGAATGTCATAGTAAACGTAGATCCTACGAATTTATCAGCACTGTTCAATTCAATAGTAGTTTTTCCGGCCTCACGGACGAATGCCGAAGAGGAAATAAGATCCCCGCCTATTTTTTCTCCTTGATCAGGCAAAGTCAGTTTTACTCTCCATTCAACGGCTTCATCTGCACTGAATGAGTAACTTGGAATGTTAATAAAGGTGTACCAGTATTTTGCCTTAGCGTTTTGGACAATATACTTTCCACCCTCAGGAACGTCCTCCCAGCTATCTTGGAGCTTCTTCTGCCACGTGATGGTGACATCTGCACCCCACTCGAACCTTTCAATGTTGGCTGTAAATCCAGCTGTGTCCCCACCAGCTGTCCACGAATTAGACAATGCTGGTTCTCCGAAAAATGATAAAACTTGCAAGTTAGCTGAGTCTGATTTCGTTGCTTTCCCTGCTACCTGACAGAAGAAGGAACCTTTACCGTTGTCCTCAGTAAGGCCTGATAAGGTTGCGATACCAGTGTAAATTGTACCCCATGATTCTGTGGTAGGTTGCGTGTCCATTACCACATTTGGTACAATGCCAGTACCTTCTGAGGTCTTTAGCTCGAGAGTAACAACTTCGGTGCTGACAATTGCACATGTGAACTTAGCTTGGCCACCAAGCAATCCCATATTGTCCGTTGGAGCGGTCTTGAAACCAATAACATTCAATGTGGCATAGTCACTGTCTAGTACAACTTCTCCCCATTTTGCCCTGCATTTGTATTTTCCACTGGCATCAAATGATGCTTTTCGAAAGACTAATTTTTTAATCAACTCTTTATTTTCTGTATCGTACTCAACGCTGTTACCCCATATGATTTTATCCTCGTTCCCTTCTTTGTGCCAAGTCATTCGGGACTTATCGTCCTTAACTGCCGGTACAATGCATGTAAATGTAGCCTCCACGCCTGATTCCACGCTTATATCTTCTGGCTGTTTGATGACAGTTGGCATAACTGGTTGTATATCCACACCCTCTTCACCTGACTCCTGCTTACCAGTGACATCCACCTCCTCGTACTCCGCACACAAGTTGGTAGCTTTACCTGTACAGGTGTACCGCCCTTTGGTTGACTCCAACACCTCAAAACTGTACCGCTGGTTTCCCTGGACCTTGGGAGCTGATTGTCCGTCTGGTTTTATGAGCTCCACATCTTTAAATTTTCCGACATCCCTGCACACGATAACAGCCTTGCTGCCGGCGTAATGTGGTGCGGCTGGCTCGACTACCATGTTCAGCTCGGCAAATCGAATATCGGTTTTATACTTGAACGAGTTTTCCCTTCCTGAAACTTTCGCTTGACACATATACCTTCCATTCTGATCAGGTTTAGCATCTGTCAAGGTTAGGACAGATGAGATTTGGTTATCAACGAAATTTGTCGTCTGGAATCCTTCACTAATCTCATCAGCCCATCTGGTCCACACAATAGATTCTACTGTCTCCTTAGTTTGGAAGTTGCAAGTAAGTTCAAGACTGCCATCTAAAGATGTTTCGCAAGACTTGAAACCACTGGCTTGTACGACTACAGTCTTGGGGACAGTAACTTCCACGTTGTTTCCGTCAGCAAAAGAGAATTTGCACGTGTATACTCCGCCATCTTCCCAGGTAGGCTTTTCTATAACGATTGAAGTTTTAGCAATATTATAAGTGGACGAAGCACCCTCCACTTCCTTAGAATCCGTCTTGATCACATGATCTGCGTCCGCGACAACCACTTTGTCCTCAAGCAGCCACTCGACAGTAGGTTTGTCCTTTCCACTGTATTCACAGGTTCGGACAAGATCTTTATTCCCGAGATTGTCCATGAAAATTTGCTTCTCATTTGTTTCGTCCGTCAGGGCTAACCTGGCTATGATGTTAACAGGATCAGTTTTTAGCGTCATTTCATCTTTCCAAACTGCTTCAAACGTGTATTCTCCGTCATCTTTACCTGCCCTATTGTTCTTGTTGTAATCCAAGGTCAGTATGTAAGTTTGGGAATCACCAACCTTAGCTAGCGCTTTCAGCTTTAAAGCAGTTATCCTTTTCTGTCCTTGGTTGATAAACATATTTTTAGGCTTATCAACAGAGCCCACTATTACAGAAATTTCCCATGTATCAGATGTTATGTATTGCGTTCCAGACTTGCTTACGGAGATGGTTCTCACTGTCACAGTGTTAGTCGTCGTCAATGTTATTTGACCAACTTTGAAAACACAATCGTAATCTCCGCTCTCATCAACAGTCATCGAGGAGGCCGTAATCGTGCTTTTTTGAACGTTGTTTAGGTACTCTCCCTCATTTACCGTCCATTTGCTCTGATCCACTGGCTGGAACTTGTAGTTCCAGGTGACAGAAGCAGGCGCTACAGATCCTTGGTACTCACAGGAAAGAGTCAATGCACCTCCATCGTTACCGACGATGTTTGTCTCCGAGGCAGAGCCGATGACGGCTACTTTTACCACAGATGAAACGAGTTTGACAGGATACGTAACAGTGGTGAACTCCACGTGATACTCTCCCCCCAATTCAGTGCCAATTGAGGGGTTGTTTAGTGTTACCTTAAAACCTTCACCCTCCTTCTTCGAGCTTGGTGTGAAACCTTTTGCTACGGATACCTTTTCTCCGTTTAGGTACCATATCATACTAAAGTCTGCCATGTTGCTAGAGTAAACGTACGCCTCCAATTCGAGACTTCCACCTCTTTCGACTGTCACAACCGCATCACTGAGCATATTAAGTTCAGCAAATTGAAGGTTTAGTGTGTGTGAGGGGTTTTTATTATCAGGAAAACCAAACTCGCACCTGTACTCTCCCGCATCAGTGAGTGCAGGATCTGAAACTTCGTGGTTTGTTGTGTACAAATTACCGTCCATAGCCATGCTGTTTCCGACAAGTTTGTTATCATAATACCATTTACCAAAATCAGGGGCTTCGTCGTTATAGATTACACAAGTGAGTTCCACAGTTTCCTTTTTCGTGTAGTATATTTCTGGCTGGGGTGATAGAACTGACCTAACTTTGACGGTAGAGGTATCAAATGATTCTGAGGTGTCTGCGTAGATGAGCTGACATGTGTATGTTCCAGCGTCCTTGTATGTACTGACGTCCACCTTCATTATAAAGTCATTGCCGTCTTGTTGGAAGGTATATTCTCCTTCGCCAACAACGTAGTCCGCTTCTCCAGGTTTTGGGCCCAAATCCTCACCGTCGGATTCTTGCCCCGTCTCTGACTTTAACATGAAATCAGCCCATTTCTTTTTTTCTTCATCCCCCTTTTTCATGACAACGAACTTAGGTTTGATATCTGATATAACTGTGCACGTTAACTCCCAGGTGCCTTCTACTGCCACAACATTGACTGGAGTCAGTTCCAGGGCGAGGACAGTGATTTCCTTGTACTCCTTGACAAGACCGGCTGCTGTTGCAGCCACACATTCGTAATCAAGCACCTTGCCTCCGTACGTTATTGCGTCTTCAACAGGGTTGGTGATCAGCTTAGATGACATTTGAAAATCTACGTAGTCTGAGTTCTCAAATTTACCTTGCGGGAGTCTGTTACCGTTAACATCCCACCTGATTTTTCCAATTTTAGCTCTGGAAGCAGCGTTACAGGTGAGAGTAATGGCTTCTGAGCTCCTTACAATTATCTCCTGCGGACCGTCGATAACAACTCCTGTGTGAGCTAATTCGATCTCTTTGGAGAATGTTTCCCCGTATGCGGTAACCTGGCAGATATATATGCCATCCAATAGAGGGTCCATCTTGAGGGATGTCAAAACTATTTCGGCAGTGTCGACTATCTCCACCTCCTGAGATGCAGAGGTCTCTACGACTTGTTGGTCCTTGAGCCAGGTCATAGCGGCGGTTCCTTGCGTAGTTAGAGTACACGTAATTCTATTATCGTCCAAGGTCGGGTAGAACTCTTTTCCTTGGTCAATCTCGAGTGAAGCACCGTACAGCTCAGTTTCGGTCTCTCCCACATTGTCCAGCCCGTCCTTAAAGATGCAGGTGTATGTTCCACCAGTATTCTCTACTACGGTTACTTCAAGTGTACTCTCCATCTGATAACCAAATGATTTAGTTTCGGAGGTATCAATTTGAGGCGGTTCTCCATCTGAAATGATTCGTTCGTTAAACTGGTTTATGATGATTACTATTGTATTTGGTCTAGTAATGGTTTCTATACATGTTTAATGTTTGTTTAATGGAGTATATAATGTATAAAGTTTGTTTGAGAAACTGAATCATTTCAAGAATTACGTATGCGCATACTAATATAAATAAATAAATGATACCTTTCATTGCTGTGTCATTGAAAGATACTCGAATATAAAAAGTAAAAATAATCTTACCAATCTTCCACTCGACTGATGCTGGAGTGTCACTTGAACCCCAGGCACACTTCAGGGTGATTGTTCCAGGTAAGCTCATTATGTTGTTTGGTAGTTCCTGTGAAAATCCTGGAAACAAAATCTCGCTGTTAGTTAATATTATTAATTATTATTAATAATCATTATCTTTTTGATAATTAATAAATACTTAAATATAACATGAATTGTATGTGATTATGTTTAATTAATACATGAAATATATGCGATAATGTTTAAATGAAACATGAAGTAAATGTAAAAGGAAATATCTTTATTCACAGCTTTAAACTGACCGATTCGCTTCATCGTAGTGAGCTGTTTGTTGACGTATTTGAGATCAGACCGGGTCGAGTGAGCAAACTCGATGTTGCAAGAAAGAGGTGCTTGTTTATAACCCAGATCTTTTAGATAAAGTTCCACACTCTGCTTTTTACCGTCCACAGTCTTCTCTATGTACACATTATCATTTTCGTCCGTTGATGTTATGGGATTTGGCTTTTCTGGGTCCGTCATGTCGTACCTTAAGAACGGTGTTATTATTTTTAAAACGGATAAAAACCGAAAGTACAAAGTAGCTCAATAATTGGCGAGATAGTTATGTGATATATTGAAGTGTAAATTAGTTACATAATGGTTAACTCACCATATGATATTGGGGTTATCAGAACCAGTGTAGTCACATTTGATTTGGACATCGTCTGTGAAGTACGCAGTGACTTCCTCGATCTTACTCAAGGCAGCATGTGTTACCAACACTTCTTTGCTAATTTTTATGTCGTAGTTTCCAGATAATTCATACTCGCACTTCACTGAAAAGGTAGGTATGTTGATATACATAGCAAGCTTAACGGAATTTGCTGTGTAACAAGCGAAAGAGTTCGGAATTGAATTCCTTGCTACTGATTTAATTATCCAAAACTGATTCTGTACAGTGAAGATAGCGACCTTCATCTCAGAACCCGCCAGATTTATTGGGTGGGTTTCTGGCTCGTTTCTAAGTACTGGTAATATATTTCAAATGAGGATAAAATGAATGCATCAAGAATTATCAAAATTGTTCTCCTTTTTCTAAGCAATGTAATGACAATGTTAACCAAATTAGCTGGGCAGCTAAGAATAACAGTGTTACACAGCGTCACGTAAACTCAATTTTTCTTATAACTGTCTGGACAAATTCGTGGAAAAACCTAACTTGATCAATATTAGCTTAGGCCTAAGGGACTAAATCAAATTAACGCTTGAAGATTGTGTTATATTGGAATGTGGGGTTATATGATATTCTCTTGATCCTGCTTTATCAATTTATATAAACTAGGATACAAACTTACATCCAGATTTTTCTACATCAAGATTCTTGCAGAAAACAATTATCGAATATGCATAGTTACCGGTGGGATCAGTACCATTTCAAGCTTTTTGGATATTTTGGAAGAGATTATCAATTTGGGGTTTCATGGATTAGTTGCTATCAAAATCGCGCATCTGCATAGTTAAAAATGACGAAAATATCCTTTGATCGCGAGAATAAATACAGCGTGACCATTCGCATTTTAAGAAGGCTTGAAGTTTTGAAGATAAATTGCGAAAATTGATCATGATAACCCTTCAAACTAAAAGTTTGAAATTTACTTTCGCTTTATACCAGCACATGGAATAAACATACTCGTAAGTTTACAATTACTAACCTATTTTCAAGGTACTATCGACTGTAAGACTGTTGACTGTTACACCATCTTGTCTATCAGCACTGGTTCCAGATGTTGTTATGCCAGAGTTTATCTGAGAAAGAGCCATTAAATGGTGTTCATGAGCATATATTGCTGGACTGAGAAGAAATTTTAGTTAAAATGAAGGGACAACGTAGGACCAAACACTTTCCATAAAACACTAGGTCAAAACTCAATGCTTTCCATGAAGTATTAATCAAATAAAACCTAATAAAAAACAAATAACAAGACAAATTATATTCCAGATCAGTGTCCACTAACCTTCACTCCGTCCAGATACCACAGCATGGTTTCTGCAGTAGGTCCCTTGTAAATACAATCCACCGTGGCCGTGCCCGTATCAGACAGTACCCCCACAGGTGCAGTCAGGGTGTACCCTAGCAGGTCGCTCGTCATACTCACGATCTTCTGTGGTTTTACCTCGTCAGTTTCTGTGTCGTCTTCTGTCGGGTTTTTGTCGGGTCTGGTCGGTTTTTTGTTTGATTTCTGTGGTGTTTTGTCATCTTCACATGTTGTAGTATGTGTAATATGTGTAATAAGTGTAATATGTGTATTATGTGTAATATGTGTAATATGTGTAATATGTGTAATATGTGTAATATGTGTAATATGTGTAATATGTGTAATAAGTGTAATATGTGTAATATGTGTAATATGTGTAGAATATGCTGTCAGTATCAATGAGAACTGTGATTTATCTGTCAATCACCAACAAGGGTAGAGTCGAAGTAAAATGTCGATCATTAGATGCACTGATGTAACTTACTGACGAGTTTTATTAGCTTTATTATCATGAAACAATTTACATGTTATCATTTATTGTTAAAATGGCTAATAATTAAACAATTCACGTTTTTTTGATATTATAAATTTTCCAAAAAGTTGTGATCTTACCTGTTCCATGACGAAAGACTCGCACTTGTATTTACCCTGCTTTTCTTCCGTCATCTCACCAAGAACCCAGAAGTGCTGAAAGATAGTGGTTAGTTTTAAATTCTTACAGTTTTTGTCAAGCATGCCTTGTCGTGTCGTCATTAATTGTGGCAATTAAAAATTCACGCACACTTGATGAGCCGGTCATTATATAAAGCGCCAGGTAATAAATGAAAAGTGTATCACCATGTCGTCACTATTTAAAATTTGTATCAAGTTAATAATCGAGAGAATAAATGACAGGCAATCAATAAAACGGAGAAATATTTTATATTAATGCCAAAATGGAAATACCTGCAGATTTATAATGAGAAACAATATTGCATAGTAATAATCAATAAATTAATAATCAACAGATAAATTAGATAATAATTAATTAAATAATAAAAGTAATAATTAATTAAAAAGATACCTCTTGATACTGCTTTCCACCCTTTTCAATGGTTTTACCAATCTCAGGAGCCACAGACTCGTCTTGTGTGCCCATGTAGTAGTACTTCATGTAGGATCCAGTTTGTACTACCTTGTAACAGAGTAGCTTCACATCTCCTCCGAATGGTTCAGCACGGTAGGTGACCATGTCCGAGAATACTGTAATAATGGGGAGTTGTTATACATTTGCACTGTGAGTGTTGTTAGTTACTGTAATAATGGAGAGTTGTTATACATTTGCACTGTGAGTGTTGTTAGTTACTGTAATAATGGGGAGTTGTTATACATTTGCACTGTGAGTGTTGTTAGTTACTGTAATAATGGGGAGTTGTTATACATTTGCACTGTGAGTGTTGTTAGTTACTGTAATAATGGGGAGTTTTTATACATTTGCACTGTGAGTGTTGTTAGTTACTGTAATAATGGGGAGTTGTTATACATTTGCACTGTGAGTGTTGTTAGTTAAGGTGGTTGTGGTTTCACGACCTGTTTGCATGGGTAAAAATGTGACTTTAACAAACATACCATGAGAACAGGTATTAGTAATATTATTTGCTGTGAATTATCGTCTAAAAAGGTTCAGAAATTGAGGCCGGATTTTTTCTGATAAGAAATGTTCTCTGAAAAGTAACCGTTTAAGAACTAACCGAGAACGTGGAATGTAACAGTTGTGTCTCCAACTATATCGTCTTTATAGAAACCCTTGCATCTGTACACTCCGTTACTTGTCTCCTTAACCGCTGTTAAAAACCACAATTTCGTCTTGAAAATAATCTCCTCGCCGTCTGTGTAGTCGGTCCCATCCTCCTGCAAAATAAGAGGTTAAGAAATCGTGAACTTCTGTTCAGACATTTTAGACATTTCATACATCCTCAGTCCTCACTCCTCAGCCGTAGAATTTTTAAATATCACAGAATTGGATGTTCCTGCGCAGGCCAGTCGGTGATCGTTAATCAAATGTAAATTGGATGGGCTCATACCAGATCAAGAGTGCTAACGTCCGTTACTTCCTTGTCGTCGATATAGTATTTGATGTCGTATCCCTCTTGGGTGTAGCAGACAATTTCCAGCTCCTCTCCGACTGCTAAACTCTCTTCGTATGTCTCGATATGCTTGGCTGTGTGATTGTAGCGGTTTATTAAAAGTTTACGGAGAGCCAATTTCTACTTCAGTTTATAAATCCAATTTATAGCAGAGTACATAAAAGTGATGGTAACATTAGCCGAGCGTTTTGGATGAACCGACTCATTTTTGGAATGTCTTGGAATAAGTACCATCTAATAATAGAAGTTTTGCGTGTAAAATTCGGAGAAATGGACTAATGTTGATAGCTAGGTGTAGTAATCTAATATTCAGTCTAGCTAATCGTGTAACTTGAGCGTTTCATCCCTTGTGTATCTCCGGTAGGAAATAATTCACCGTACGCAGCTGTGAAAAGACACGGACGAAATTCATGGTCGAGTGTATACTTATTGTTGTAAGTCAGTTTTGAGAATACTGAACAATTTAGTTCGGGGATTAAGGTACGTGCACTTAAAATGGTGTATTTTCACAAATTATATTTAATAAATATTATATTTATGTTAACTTAATTTTAATAAGCCATTGTTTATTGATGATTATTAGGATTCACTTAAGATCTTACATATTATTCTTTAATAACAATAAATATTAATTCGTATTTGTCAAAACAGTACCTATTATATAAAGCAATGAAAGGCATTAGTTTGGTCAAATCAAACGGAACATATGCTATCAGACTTTCAACTGACTATGGCAGGGTTAAAACAGTTTTAACGCTATATATCAGTTCTCGATATGTACGTACTTTTGGTTGAGTAATTTATCAAACTAAATATCGAATTCGAGATAACAGGAATTTAGAAATTAGACTGGAAACCTGAAAATAAAAATAATCTGTAATTATTGTATATTACTATTATTATACCCTCCATTTTATCACTTACCTATTACAAACAAGGGTAGAGCGTCAGATTCGGCCTTTTTGGTGGCAGCGGTTACTTTGAGCACGTATTCGCCGGTGTATGTGGCAGGAACGTTCTCGACCTTGAACACACTTGAAATCATTTTATCGTCCCATGTTGGACTTGGGAGGTCTGAAATAGAGAGAATATTCAATTAATTTTATGTAAACAACATGTTCTCCTCTGACCCTCATCGTTAATAAGCCAAACCCTATTACTTGCGTTTATCCTACCCCTTAAATTTTGATTTAGTTAGAGTCTCAGACTCTCAATTAAATTGTTAGGGCTAGAATTATCTTTGAAATAATCTCTAAGGCCCAGTGGCTAGTTACAATATTCCTCATCTTCGAGTGGTAGATTGTGAGATCCATTATTAATGATCAAAATGCCATTATCAGTATAACATGACACTCAGGAAATGCACTCCGCAAAGTTATACCTTTTTCCAAGTCACTCTCCCCCTCTCGTTCCAAGACAAGGACCATTTTAGTTTCCGCAGAGATATCTTTAGAAGCCTGGATCTGTCCAGTAACCTCGAACTCAGAGCCTTCGACTGTAGTGTAACTTCCCCCAATAATTCCTGGAATCTTTATCTCCGGCTTGGCTGTGAGAAATTAAATGTTTTAAAATTTAAGAGTATTTAAAGAATTAAGAAATGGAATTATGATTATTATGGAATTTAGAGATTAAATTATGATCGGCTTTTTATACGATGGATCAAGTTATGTAAATATTCAATCACATTCTGACATGCATAACTTGTCAAACTTTCGTAATGTTAAAAAGCAGGAATCAAATTTTAAACTTTCGTGTGTACATTGATTCATCAAGATTATACTATAAAATATACATAATACATAGACTATACACTGTATACACTATACGTGTTAAAGTACGAGTTAAGTCCACTTTAAAATATTTAAAAAAGTGAGATCATATTCAATTTCTGCAACAAATCTAAACTATTCTAAATTTGTTCTAAAAAACAATTACTGTACAATTTACACACAACCTAAAAATTGTTAAAAAAACAAAATATGTAAACTTACTGAAAACATCTAGAGTTCCGGTCAGAGAGTAAATATCATGACCGTACCCTTCACTTTTACAACCATACGTTCCAGCGTCATCGAGTGAGTCAATTGTGTATTTAACCTCATATCTGAAGAGATAATTTTGTAATCAAAGCGATATCTCATTGGTTATAGACACCGACCAGCTAGAGTGTCTACAAAAATTAGCAATTGTTGCTATAATTTCAAGAACCAAATACTCAGATAAAAACTCGCTAAACTTTTTACTCGAAATACAATAAACTGACCTGTCCATCTCAAAACCGCTAATTGAATAGTCTTCCTTCTTTTCATAATCATCGTTCGTTAGTTCAACAGTCTCGCCAGCCCAGGTGACGGTGATATCTTCTCCGCTCACGCCGTAGCACACGAACTCCACTTCTGTGCTAACCACCTCGAACTTTGTCTCAATGTACGTGAAATCCTTCGGATCTGAAACATTGGCGTCAAATCATGCGTAGAATTTTAAATTTCTACGTGTACTAAACTTCAAAACTCGTGATAGGACCGTAATGACCGTAATGACTACCCTATATAAGGTCAGAAGCCTACTAGAGTACTGTTGTACTTGTCCGCTGTGGGACCCTGTTAAGGTGACTGAGATCCAGCTTTTGGAGGGGGTCCAGCGAACATTCACCGATCGTATATGCGGTCTGGAAAATATGAACTACTGGGAGAGGCTTTCACATCTAAAGCTGATGTCACTGCAGCGCAGAAGGGAACGGTACACCATTCTGATGATGTGGAAGATCCTTCACAATGTTGTCCCCAATTGCAGCAATATTAGGTTCACAAAAACATCCAGACATGGTACCCGAGCAATCATCCCTTCCCTGTCTAGGTTGAGTTCCTCGAGCAACCAGACACTCTATGACAGCTCATTTGCTGTAAAAGGACCAAAACTACGGAACAAAGTGCCTGATAGTATTAAAGCTGAAGCTACTTTTGAGTCGTTTAAAGTTAGTTTGTCCAAGTTTATTGCTTTGATACCGGACAACCCTCCGACTTCCGGTTATAGCTGCAGCTGGTCTAATTCCCTGGTAGACTACTCGCCATCGAGGTGGTCAGAAATCTGATGACTCTTCCTGCTACGAAGATAAACACAACCAAAGTAACCAAAGTAAGTAACTAGGTCGATTGTTGTTGTATTTGATTTTATAATAAAAATGATACCGTTACATAATTACGTAATTACGTAACGCGAACTAGTCGCGTACACATTACACATTATAGTTATTAGTACTTTACAGTTTCTTACAGTCTGTAATCGTATTTATAAACATCTGTAAATGAAGTTCTAAAATTTAAAGAAGTCATCAGTCTTTACTCTTTAGCCAACCTAGTTACCTTGTGTATCATAACAATAAACGAGGGGTTTCACTGAAAAACGGTTAAAACTCACCAAAGATTTTTACATCTACAGAAGATGCCGAGCCTTGATCAACTGTCATACAGCTGTAAGAACCTGACTCAGCAACAATTACATTTTCCAAAATAAGAACACTAGTTTGAGTGCTGATGTCCTCCTCGTATTCGTTCTCGTAATAGCGGTCATTGACCTCTTTATCGTCCTTCATCCAAATCAGGTTTACCTGAGAGAGAGAGTTTACTTTTTAGGTATAGTTGGGAAATAAACTAGGACAACATGCACTTGATATTAGTGATATTATTACTTTACTGTGCCAGCCTCTCCCCCACGTACAGCTACCTCAATTAGAGGTAGCTGTATGTGGGGGATATATGTGGGAGGCCTGCATTTCATCAAAACATTCTGAGATTCAGGCTCGCGAGCCCGACATTCGTCTCTTGCCTCTTGGCCATCAAACTAGTTGTTTAATTCATTCCATTGTTTCGTTAATAGATCCCACGAAAACAATCAATACTTATGCAAGTATAGACAGGGAGCAATTTGAATTTGCGTCATAAAACATGTCGTGTTTGGGGCATCAGATCTTGCTTGTCCAACTTTTATTTAATCAGATTTCTAATAATTGTGTTTAGAGTGACGTCATACTCTAGGTGGAGTAGAGACTTATCGTCTCCCGGCTAATGAGAGAATGTGCTAGAGTACTACATCGTATTGGGTGTCGGAACAAACAAATAAGAGTGACGTCCGACGAATATCATTCTCACAAATGTCATTAATAAACAGAATACATAGCTATGAGTGGTATATGCATTACTGGGTTGATTTTAAAGTAAATCAGTCGTCATTTATATTTTATACCGCGCCGTAATTAAAGCAAAAGCAGTAGTATTTACAGTAGTAAAACTCTGTATCTCCGGAATTAAAAAACATTTTAACTTTAAATCAAGATGCAAATAATGAAGACAACAAACCTCAGCTATAGCCACAAGATTACAAGTAATCGTCAGGTCCGTTCCAAGAGGGATCATTGGATATCCTTCAGTTGGCGTCAAGACAGTATCACCTGTAGATATCATGATGAATCTCTAATTATATCTAATTAAATTTAGTTACATCTAATTATATATATATATATTATCCTGATTCACCCACTGAAAAAATCATGTCATCACATTAATTAAATGACTGAAAGACTTACTAAATACAGTTTTAGACTTACCTAGAGGCACCACGTCTATGTTGTAGATGAAAGATGAAACTTTGAAAGTGTCAAACATGGATACGCACTCAAACTTTCCATCTTGTTGGTCGGTAAGTTTCACCTAGGTATTGATATATGGGTCAATTGAATAAAAACTTGTTAATATTCATGAAAAAAGTTAGAATCGAAAAAACTTCTCATCCGCGATTTGCCATATTTTCTTGTCTCTACAACTACCAAATTGTTTTTTAGCATACCTTGAGTAGCTTCTTCTCCCAATGTCCTAGATCAACAGCAGAATAGGTCTTTTCAAAGGTGTAGGCACTGAATACAGACCCATCTTTGGTGAACTCGAAATCTTCTTTGTAAGACCAGCAGTTAAGGGTGAAAAAGACACCATCATTCACAGTTAGCGATTCTTCTTGGTCCTTGGTAGCTGGAAAGAAAAAAACAATGTTTTTTCATGTTAAACCAATTTGTTTATCAATCATTATCTGATTAAGTTTTATAAAACTCTCACTATCTTGAGGATTGTATATTTCAAATAAATTTATGTACTAAGTATCTACTCCTCTTTAAAAAGATCCTCTTACCGATGATCATGAGTGGCATATCGTTAGTGCTCCTCTTCTCCTCTCCTTTACAGTAGTAGCTACCAGAGTGCTCCTCTCTTGCGCTTAGGTATGTTAGCGTGCCTTCTGTCACTCTGTCAGAGTTTACCTCCTGACGCATTTTTATTAGTATTTCTTGCTTATAAAAGTCAAAAATCAGGCTTGAAATGACACATGATACAAAGTAGAACTAAATGTTATACATTGGATGTCTTTTATGATAAACAGGGTAAAAGTAAAAACCTCTTCGACGGTTATAGAATTGGAGACTGCGAGAATCTGTTTATCTTCGCTCCCCTCCACTTCGACCCACCAAGATATCGCAGAGCTGAGTTTCTTGTTGGCGATACAAACCAAGGAAATCTTACTTCCGGCTTTGTGGTACTTATCGGCGGCAGATATCTCTAGAGATGCTATCCTACTGATCTCAAGGGTGAATGTGTGCTCTAAAACGGTGAGATCTCCCAAAACCGCTGTACATTTGAACACTTCTCCGTCACGATCTAATTTGACTTGCAGGATCACTTTCTGCCACACGAACATATTGTGACCAGTGGCAGATGTTTCTTCTTTGAGTTTTGTGAAATCTTCCTCGTCTGTGATTTCACTCTGAAATGAGTTGAAATTCGATTACATCGCTCAACATGCTTGTCATCACTCAATAATTTTTGGTGGAAAGTCATTAAGAAAGATAAAATCAAGAACAGCTCGTTTTGAAAATCAAACCACCCACCAAGAGTTGGTTGTCTTTGTAGAAAGAAATAGTGGATCCTTCAGGGGCCGAACAGGTAAGAGATACGGTTTCACCCTCTTGGACGACCACGTCCTCAACCTCCACCTCAACGGCTGAAACAAATTAGCGTCAATCATCAATAATATGAATTTGAGCAGTCTTTCTGAACACATATAGTAATGTGAACTGAGGAATGAAAATTTGCTGTTAATAAATAGATGTAGATTCTGGTGCAGAGGTGAAGCATATTTTTTGACAAGTGTCAAAGAAATATGCGCCATCTCTCCGCCAGAATCTACATCTATAGATGATTTGCATATTTAATGACAACAACTTACAATGGAATTCTAGAGCGATCTCAGGACTCTCTACTTCCTCTGCTACACAAAAGTAGGAGGCAGAATCTGACTTTTCAGCCGAGACAAATGTCAACTCTGTGTATGGGACACCTGCTGTTACTCCCTGAAATCCAGCAGGTGTTACATTAAAACCACATGAATGATGAATAACATAAAGTAAGTAAATTACATTACGTAATAAACAAACCTATTTTTATTGACTTTTAAACTCCCATTTAATTTTAAGATCAATAGTTAAATTGACGTATCAGAACATTGAAGTAACATGGAAATTTTTAACAATTCTTACAGTTTTGAGCTCTGTAACACCAGCCTCAGCTTCCATTAAGACATTTTTGGGAAGCCTCTTCCTGTACCATGTCATGCCACCGACTACTTCCACATTGGCAAGACACGTGATGGTCACTCTTGCACCAATGGCAAAGAATGCTTCCGTCTCAGGCTTGGTCGTGAGTACAACTGAAATTGTTTTTATGAGTCAATAATCCAACTGTTCCGGTAAGATTCAACACTAATATAATATTACACGAAACATAACCTCCGACATCGATCATTAAGTGGATAAGCCTTTACAAAACTTTTTGAAACATAAAAACGTAGATTCGAACCTGCATCTGCTATTTCCAGGGTGAAGCTATGATCAACAACCACTTGGTCGTTTTCAAACTCAGCTTTGCAGGAGTAGACAACTCCGTTTTGTTCGAGTCGAGCGAATTCTATGACCTTCTCGTATTTGATCCACTCAATACTTTCACGTTGTTCTGTGTCTACTAATTGTTCAAATATCTCATCTACTCCTTCCTTCGTCTGAGGTTAAGCTTAGTGTCAGGGCCAAATAAATGGGGATAAACAACTGCAGTGAATCAATAATTAAATCAAACTGGACCAGCCTAATTCCATCGTGGTATCTTGATAACGTTCTGTCTAGTTTTATATCAACCTGTATATAAAAGGAACTAAAAAACAGCTAAAATGAATATATCTCAATTTACCATCTGTTGATCGTCTTTGAAGAAAGAAACCACAGACTCTTTAGGTGCGAAGCAAGTCATAGTAACAGGCTTATCTTTACGTTGGAAGATGTCCTCTGCCTCAATAACAGGCTCTGAAATTATTCATTTAAGAAGAAAGATTTTATTTATAAATTGATCAATAAAAGGGTCTCTTATTGCAATTTCTGGTAAATTACCTTATATTACTATTACTCAACAGAAGTGGTTCGAAATTAAGGCGTTTAAATCATACAAATCTATTAAATAACGACATCAAATAGCTATATTACCAATAATGTAGACTGGAACAGACTCTTCCAAATCCTGGTTACCAGCAAATTTACATTTCCAGAGTCCAGTACTGGTTGCAGGAATAACACTGGTAACTGTGTGAACATCCATTTGAAAGTCGTCGGAATAATTCGTCTCTGATGTCTGAGTTGCTCTGTAGAAAGAATATTCAAAATTTATGTTTTATTTATAAATGATGCATATTGTTATAACCACACAAATAACACTCAGTTGAAAGAACTACCGATGAAGGTAACTGTAAATGTCTGTAAAACCCACCCTCCTTGCTGCCCTTCGTCGTCCTTGTACCAAAAGATCTTCTTCTCTTGGTCGCTGGTCAGTACACAAGTCAGTATTGTTTCTCCTCCAACAATTCCGTACAGAGGTTTGTCATGTGCAATGACCAGAATATCAACTAATAAGTGGGGGAAGAATAGTTAGATATAGTTTTTAGATATCTTATATTATACCGGTTTCTATCCAGAAATCATTATCAAGATATTGGGAAATTGGTGTTTTATTGATGATTGTTGGACGTCAGCCCAGAAGATTGATAATACTTTTGTGAGAAGATTATCAAAGAGAAATTATATATTTGTGTGTAATATACACATACTATGTGCGACAGTAAAAAACTGCGTTGTTAAGATCAAATGCCTTATTAAAAGTCGTGCCCGTTTTGAAACAGATTAAATGCTTGAATCTTGTTGATCGGCGAAAATTGGTTCAAAGAAAGTATTTTTCAAGTCAAATAAGGTTATCATGATATTTAAAACTCTCGTTACTATCACTTACCTTAACCTTATGATATAAAGGTTAGGACATCCTGTGAAAAATATTTAAGTTGCTGGATATGAGTTTTTTCAGGTAAAGAGGTTTTGAGGCATTTATTATCATTTGATTTGAAAGCACATAAAATTATTCGTACACGAATTGATTTTCACAAAAGTATTGGTTGATCAGTTCAAAATTAAGAGAGCTTTGATTTGTCGTGGGTTTTGCTTTCGCATAAAAAGCTTTTTGATTTGACCTATTTAGGTTTTAATCTAAATAACGAAATCAATATTTTTTGAATCAAATGTTTGTCAATTTTGTAATTTGGTCAGGTCTAATGGAAGGTCAAACGTCAGTCGTTAAGTGCTTTACGTTATTGTAAATCTTCAAGAACTTCTCAAACTCTAGCAAACAAGATCTACACACATACCAAACAGCCAGCCATGTTAGCTATTCATTTCATTGCAATCACTGCAAGAGATGTTGCACTAACGTTTATCAAATATGTAACATGTAATTGGCACTCACAATTCAATCACAAGCACAGAAACATTAAAAAGGTTGCAGGTCAGGTTTTGATCCATACGGTTACCACTTAACTTACCAAATGCATTACCCTCACTGTCTTCCCCTTCACCATCTGTCTCTTCATCAGGTCTTGTCGATGAGGACGATGAGAATGAAGACGAGGATGAAGTAGAAGAGCTGCTACTGGATGAAGAAGCCGGCGTTGTACTTGAAGACTGGTACGTCGATGAGGAAGTTGTTGCTGGGGTTGTTGTTGAGCTGACAGTACTCGATGCCGTACTCGATGTCTGCGACAATGAACCCGTGGTGGAACTAGAGGAAACTGCTGAAGAAGAGGTACTATCCACTCCCCTTGAGGATGTAGAGGAGATTGATGTCGAGGACGAGGTGTCTACCGTCGGTGTTGTGGAAGAAGAACTTGGTGACGATTGAGTTGTTGAAGTAGTGATTCTTCCGGTTGAGGAGGTTGAACTTATAGGTGTCGACGAATGTGTACTCGACGACGACGATTCAGGTGTTGATGAACTTGTCGACGACGAAACTGTAGAAGTCGACGTTGAAGGGCCTCCTGGCGACGATGTTGAGCTCAGTGTCGTCGAACTACTTGATGTCGGAGGTGTCACCGTAGTCGAACTCGATGAATGAATTGATGACGTAGGTGAAGACGTGCTATCTTCAACTGGGGGAGTTGATGAACTTATCGTCGTTGAACTACCTGATGTAGATGGTGTTGTCGTCGTCGAAGTAGATGATGAAACCGACGTAGTCGCCGAAGAGGAGGTTTCTTCGACTGGGGGAGTTGATGAACTTATTGTCGTTGAACTACCTGATGTAGATGGTGTTGTCGTCGTCGAAGTAGATGATGAAACCGACGTAGTCGCCGAAGAGGAGGTTTCTTCGACTGGGGGAGTTGATGAACTTATCGTCGTTGAACTACCTGATGTAGATGGTGTTGTCGTCGTCGAAGTAGATGATGAAACCGACGTAGTCGCCGAGGAGGAGGTTTCTTCGACTGGAGGAGTTGATGAACTTATTGTCGTTGAACTACCTGATGTAGATGGTGTTGTCGTCGTCGAAGTAGATGATGAAACCGACGTAGTCGCCGAAGAGGAGGTTTCTTCGACTGGAGGAGTTGATGAACTTATTGTCGTTGAACTACCTGATGTAGATGGTGTTGTTGTCGTCGAAGTAGATGATGAAACCGACGTAGTCGCCGAAGAGGAGGTTTCTTCGACTAGGGGAGTTGATGAACTTCTTGTCGTTGAACTACCTGATGTAGATGGTGTTGTTGTCGTCGAAGTAGATGATGAACCCGACGAAGTCGCCGAAGAAGATGTTTCTTCAACTGGTGGAGTTGATGAACTTATCGTCGTTGATGTCGATGGTGTTAACGTCGTTGAAGTTGATGAACTTGAAGTACCTAAAGAGCAAATTTGTCATTTTAAGAAGAAAAAAAAGGGCTTTTGAAGCGTTTTATATTATTCCTAAATTTTTTACATACAATTTAATCTAGACGGATTACAATTAAGTATAAGCAAATAATAAATACGTATGAGATTTGTGTCATATATTGATTTGGTATTTTTGTTATCGCTATGATGTACTAAAGTTTTGTGCTTTAGGACTCCAAACAGAAAACGTTGAACTCTAATTTGTTACTTAACTTCCTTCAATAAAGCAAGTTCTTTCCATAATGATTCAAATAGACGAGTCTCATTCATGTAGTGACTCACTTGCCGATTTGGAAGATAATTGTAAGGTAGTTATCTTTATAGAACATTTTAACATTTTGTGGTACAGTAAACTGACTTCGATGTCATCACAGTAAGTAATTGGCATTCTTCCCATTACTGAACAATTAGCTTAGTCCAAGGGTCCTTGCAATAAATAACATGCTTTTACACAAACGTTAGCAATAGTATTATGCAAAGATGATCAAACATTACTTCCAAGTTCTTGAGCGTGTTACCAAACGCTTTAACATAATAATGACTATTTTTGACCAGTCAATAACAAATTCTAGGTTAAGCTTGTTGTCTACATATAACTTATCTGATAATTCATAAAATCAAGAATTAAAGTTTCTTGAAGCACCCTTTCAGTGAACAAGATAAAAGAAAAATAGGACCAAATTAGCAACACGGTACACTTATTTTCTTCGGACTTCATGACAAAGTCAAGTCAAAGAACATTGTCTGGTCTATTATTCAATAAATATCCCAGTACTTATTCCAAAGCAGTGACCACAGTCATAGAGCAGCCTTATAGTCCTCGAAGGATGGCTACCTCTGGCAAAGGACGAATACGTGGAGAATACAGCAGAGTACAAATTGAGAATATGTAATACGGTAAACGTTTCTAATATTGTTCTTTCAATCCACAACTGTTACCTGGTGATGAAGTGCTACTCCCTCTAGTGCTTGTGGAACTAAGTAGAGAAGATGACGAAGGTGATGAAGATGGACTGCTCGGTGTTGTTGAGCTCGATGATGAAATTGAAGAAGTTGAAGAAGAATTAGTTTTTCCAACTGGGGATGTTAAGCTTAATGTCGATGATGTTATCTCTGTCGAAGAAGTCACCGAGGTTGGAGTCGATGATGTTGAGCTTAATGTCGATGATGTTATCTCCGTAGAAGAAGTCACCGAGGTTGGATTCGATGACGAAACTGATGATGTTTGCGTACTAGACGTACTGTCTTCAAGCGATGAAGATGATGAACTTGCTGTCGTTGATGTTATTTCTGTAGTTGGTGTCACTGTACTTGAAGTAGATGAAGTTGACGAAGAAGAACTTTCTTCTACGAGTAGTGATGTTGAACTGGTACTCGACGATGAAGTAGATAAAGAACCTGTGTGCCAGAATGTAATTATGTTAATGAATCACATCAATAAATCAGGGCATTATCTGATGTGCTTCGGAAGACAAAATAATGTATTATATGGGACACAGCTATTTCTACATTTCTAATTGGCACATACAAATATTATTACGAATTAATAACGGAGTCAACTAAAACTAAAAGGCGGAAAATATACAAAAACACATTAACAGAAGATCGATGAAATTGATCTATTGATCCACAGGCAAAACTTTTACCTGGTGATGAAGTACTACTCCCTCTAGTGCTTGTAGAACTAAGTAGAGAAGATGACGAAGGTGATGGAGACGGACTGCTTGGTGATGTTGAGCTCGATGATGAAGAAGAAGACGTTGAAGAAGAATAAGTTGTTTCAACTGGAGAAGATGTCGATGATGTTATCTCTGTCGAAGAAGTCACCGATGTTGGAGTCGATGAAATGGTTGGAGTTGATGACGTTGATGAAGAAGGACTCGTAATCGACGATGAAGTAGAAGAAGAACCTAAGGGCCAAAAGTTTATGATATAAATAAAACTTCTTAATTAAATCATGACATCAGCGCACTGTCTGATTGGAATAGATCAACACAAAATTATAACAAATCGATAAGTCCAGATTCTAGGCTTCAGCAATCTTAAAACGTAGGACTAGGAGTAATCTACGACCACTAACAGTTAAATATTTTCAAGAATCGGGGCTGCAATAACTACAAATAGACATTGAAGAACTGCTTAAATTTGATGACGTTGATGAAGAAGAACTTTCTTCAACAGGTAGTGATGTTGAACTTATAGTCGACGATGAACTAGAAGAAGAACCTACGGGCCAAAATGTAATGCTGTTAATGAATTAAATCAATAAATAAACACATTTTCTGATGAGCTTCGGCGGGTGCCGGGTATGAATGATGTATTAAGTGTGACAAACAAAATACACACGCGTGGTAGAAAATAATAACAAATCAAGACATTGATAAGATTCCAGGCTTCACAAATCGTAAAGATTAGGTCTAGCATTAAACTAAAACAACTGTCAGTTGAAACTTAACGAGAATTTGGGCTGCAATAATTACAGATTCGAAGAGATATTGATGAAGATGAGAAGGTGAGAAATATAACATACACAGAAGGGTGATGACATTGATCTGTTTATCCACAACTTTTACCTTGAGATGAAGTACTGCTCCCTTCGGAGCTTGATGATGGGGATGATGTTGAGCTTATTGTTGGGCCTATTGTTGATGATGTCTTCTCCGTCGAAGAGGTTATTGTGCTTGAACTCGATGGGGAAACTGATGAAGTTGACAATGAACTGCTTTCTTCAATGGAAGACGATGTTGAACTTATTGCTGACGATGTTTTTTCTGTAGATAGAGTTACAGTAGTTGAACTTGATGATGAACTTGATGACGTCGACGAAGAACTGCTTCCCTCATCAGGTGATGATGAAGTACTAACTGTCGGTGAGCTACTTGAAGTAGATGGTGTTACTGTAGATGAACTAGATGATGAACTTGACGAAGAACTTGATGATGAACTTGACGAAGAACTACTTCTTTCATCAGGAGAAGTTGATGAGCTTACTGTCGTTGAACTACTTGAAGTATTTGGTGTTACTGAAATTGAACTTGGCGATAAACTTGACGGAGGACTGCTTTCTTCATCGGGTGATGATGAAGTACTTACTGTAGTTGAACTTGATGATAGACTTGATGACGTTAATGAAGAACTACTTCCTTCATCAGGTGAAGTTGATGAGCTTAATGTCGTTGAACTACTTGAAGTAGATGGTGTTACTGTAGTTGAACTAGACGATGAACTTGACAATGAACTTGACGATGAACTTGAAGAAGAACTGCTTCCCTCGTCAGGTGATGATGAAGTACTAACTGTCGGTGAGCTACTTGAAGTAGATGATGTTACTGTAGATGAACTAGATGATGAACTTGACGATGAACTTGATGATGAACTTGACGAAGAACTACTTCTTTCATCAGGAGAAGTTGATGAGCTTACTGTCGTTGAACTACTTGAAGTATTTGGTGTTACTGAAGTTGAACTTGGCGATAAACTTGACGGAGAACTGCTTTCTTCATCGGGTGATGATGAAGTACTTACTGGAGTTGAACTTGATGATGGACTTGATGACGTTAATGAAGAACTACTTCCTTCATCAGGTGAAGTTGATGAGCTTAATGTCGTTGAACTACTTGAAGTAGATGGTGTTACTGTAGTTGAACTAGACGATGAACTTGACAATGAACTTGACGATGAACTTGAAGAAGAACTACTTCCCTCATCAGGTGATGATGAAGTACTAACTGTCGGTGAGCTACTTGAAGTAGATGATGTTACTGTAGATGAACTAGATGATGAACTAGATGATGAACTTGAAGAAGAACTTGAAGAAGAACTACTTCCTTCATCAGGAGAAGCTGATGAGCTTACTGTCGTTGAACTACTTGAAGTAGATGGTGTTACTGTAGTTGAACTTGACGATGAACTTGATGATGAACTTGACGAAGAACTACTTCCCTCATCAGGAGAAGTTGATGAGCTTACTGTCGTTGAACTACTTGAAGTATATGGTGTTACGGAAGTTGAACTTGACGATGAGCTTGACGAAGAACTGTTTTCCTCATCGGGTGATGATGAAGTACTAACTGTAGTTGAACTTGATGATGGACTTGCTGACGTTAATGAAGAACTACTTCCTTCATCGAGGGAAGTTGATGAGCTTATTGTCGTTGAACTACTTGGGGTAGATGGGGTTATAGTAGTTGAACTTGATGACGAAGTAGATGACTCTTCAGTTGCTGATGTAGAACTAATAGTCGACGATGAAGTGGATGTAGAACCTGTGGATCAAAATCTTATGAGAAGAATAAGGCTTGAACTATTAATGTCTGTCTGTACTGGGTGTCACGGGGGAACGAAGACAGGGGGGTGTGAAATATTAGCAAGTCGTAAAAAAACAAACATAATCTCAGCACAGATCGGCATATTACCTGAGATGTGATGAACATAAAGCAGACTATCTTACTGAAACGGTCCTAGGATCTCTCATATTATGTGAATGCCAAAAGGGAGCATATCATAACAACATAAAGGGGTCAAATATCAGATACGATAGGGAAGATGAGATAGAGAAGAAAAATGATTGCGTGATGGATCAAACAATAGAAAAAGGAGGAATTAATGCAGCATAAATTATAATCGATAAAATCTATAACTGTTACCTTGTGTTGTTGAACTACTTATTTCAACCGGCGAAGATGATGAGCTAACAGTAGACGATGTCTTTTCAGTCGATTTTGTTTCTGTAGATGATCTGGACGATGTTGTCGACGATGATGACGATGAAGAGCTTCCCTCATCCAGTGGTGACGAAGAAGTTATTGTTGTTGAACTACTTGATGTAGATGGTGTTGTCGTCGAGGTCGATGAAGACACTGACGATTTCGACGAAGAACTGCTCCCTTCGTCGGGAGGAGATGATGAACTTATCGTCGTTGTACTACTCGATGTTGTTGGTGTAACTGTAGATGAACTGGACGATGTTATCGACGATGATGACGATGAAGAGCTTCCCTCATCCGGTGGAAACGATGAACTTACTGTTGTTGAACTACTTGATGGAGATGATGTTGTCGTTGTTGAAGTTGATGAAGACGAAGAACCTATGGGTCAAAATACAATAAGGTTAATAACTAATTAAGCTTGAAAATTAAATATTAGCAGTCTTCATATCGGAATAATTGGAGATTTCTTTTAAAATGCCATGCGAAAGAAATTTTTGTTTCCATGATTGTTATACATTTTTTACTCCACTATATTGTAGGGATTTTACAAACAATTTTTTTTCAACGTTATGGTCCGTATGATGTCGGTGATGATAAGCTATTTAAATGTATGTAGAAAAAGATGTTGAAAAGTATTGTCATGCAATTACATATTGTATCAGTAAACATTCCAGTGATTATAAACTTAACATTGACTATAACTGCGATGACTTTGATTAGGACAACTATAATTAGCTTAAATCGTGCACCTGCAGTATAATTTTGAGAAATGAGGATTTTGTAATGCATCATTACGAACTTCCCAACAATGTGGTGAATTTCTAGAAATTGATCTGAATTTTACTGAATTCCTATTTTCATTCTCTCGCGACAACACTTTTAATTTTGTTGTAATTAGTCATGTTCTCCTTTAATGATAGTAACAGCATGGTGTCTTACACAATACTTTATACATAGCTAGAAATGTCATTTTCCCACAAAGCCAATGGAAATTTAATAAGTCAAACAATTGCAGCATGCTTCATATTCTGTTTGTGTGTTAAAGTGTTTTGGGTGCAAGAAACGAGTGTCTAGCAAACATATTACCTTATGGTCCTAATAATTACCAGTCAAACCAGCAGTTGGTCTTTTGTCCTCCTGACCCAAGATATTTTTTCTTCATATTTAAAAATTTTACAATGTTCCGAATGATTCATCGAGACTTGGGAAATTGGTAGATCACCGACCGGCTATAAGCCGGTTATAAGCCGGCTATAAACCGGTTATAAGCCGGCTATAAACCGGCTTATAGCCGGCTACAATTTTTATAGCCGGCTATAAGCCGGCTAATAGCCGGTTAGTAGCCGCTTACATTTGTTGTTGAGCGACGGCTATTAGCCGGTTATAAGCCGGCTATTAGCCGTTTAGGTATCGGCTATAAGAAATTCAGTGAATTCGGTTATAAGATATTAACTCGACTTCATCGTACTGAACGATAGTCAGGAGCCGGCTATAAGAAATTCAGCGAAAACGGCTATTAGCCGGTTATAAGCCGGCTATTAGCCGTTTAAGGTATCGAAAGTGGTTATAAGCCGGCTATAAGCCGGCTATAAGATATTAACTTAACTTCATCGTACTGAACTGAGTTAATATCTTATAACCGGCTTATAGCCGGCTTATAACCACTTTCGATACCTAAACGGCTAATAGCCGGCTTATAACCGGCTAATAGCCGTTTTCACTGAATTTCTTATAGCCGGCTCCTGACTATCGTTCAGTACGATGTAGTTGAGTTAATATCTTATAACCGGCTTATAGCCGGCTTATAACCACTTTTAATACCAAAACAGCTAATAGCAGGCTTATAACCGGCTAATAGCCGTCGCTCAACAACAAATGTAAGCGGCTACTAACCGGCTATAAGCCGGCTTATAGCCGGCTATAAAAATTGTAGCCGGCTATAAGCCGGCTTATAGCCGGTTAGTAGCCGGCTTATAGCCGGTCGGTGATCTACCAACTGGCCTCGAGACTTTAATTCTTTTTTCTCATTTCATAAGATTACCATAACGTATAATACGGTAAAAATATAATTTCTTGTAAGCTGCCGAAGTTGTAAGTTACCCGTTTAATGTACCCACTTGATACGAATTTGGAAATTATAATGCCAGCAATCTTAGGACCGATAAGGTACAATACGTTATATGCCATGGACTCTGAAACCCCGCTTTAGCCACTTACCTGTATCAGCATGAGCAACGTAAACTTGCACGTGTTATCATTACAGCAGACAGCTACTTAGAGGTGTTCTCAAATCTAAATAGTCACATGTTTTGTCCATCGGTCGTTGTCAATGATTATTTAAAGTCGGTCATGATTTCTTCAAGTGCAGTATAAGAATTAAAAGTTTATGATACTGGTGTGATCGTTTGTTTAAATCTGCTCTTTTTAACATCTGGCAATTTATGAAATGTTCGATACAAAATTCTTTATATGCTCGTTAAAACTACATTACTAATGTCAAATGTAGTACATTAGACTAATGTAATACATTACACACAGAAGTTTGTGAGGAAAACCTAAAACTATGAAGAGCCAGTTTGTTTAAATTAGCAATACCGTAAGATATTGTCAATGAGACATCATTTTAGTATGCATACAAATCAGAAAAATAAACTCACTGAATTCAGAGCTTGTCTCATCTCCATCAAGAGTTGTGGTTGAAGTAGATGATCCTGCCGTCGTTGAAGACGAGGTTATACTACTAGATGATGAAGACGAACTTCCTCCAGACGAAGATGAGGAAGAACTCTCTTCACCGGAGGAACTGGTTGAGCTACTGGATGATGTAACTGAGCTGCTCGTCGTCTCTGATGATGAGACAGAACTTGTGGTCTGGCTGGTTGTGGTCTGGGAGGTTGATGGAGATGATTCTTCACCGACCGATGTTGTTGAGCTGCCCGAACTTGAGGTAACACTGCCCGAACTGGAGGTAGGACTCGTAGCAGAACTTGTTGAACTGAATGGCGATGAAGTTGAAGATGAAGAACTTTCCGCTCCCTCCGAAGACGTCGATGAAGCTTCTGTCGTCGATAACGATGACGATGATTCTGTCGGTGACGATGATGATGATGTCGGGCTACTAGTTACTGTTGAACTGAATGGCGATGAAGTTGAAGATGAAGAACTTTCCGCTCCCTCCGAAGACGTCGATGAAGCTTCTGTCGTCGATAACGATGACGATGATTCTGTCGGTGACGATGATGATGATGTCGGGCTACTAGTTACTGTTGAACTGCTACTGGAGGAACTGTCAGAGGAACTCTCTGCAGGCGTAACAGAAGTTGATGATGACGAGTGCACTGTTGAACTTGCCGATGATGAGGATAGTGAAGACGACGAGGAACTTGAAGAAGAAGAAGCCGATGATGATGGGTTACCTCGTTTCACTCTACTCTTAGGTCCAACTGAAAAAAAAGGTAATTATTTCGGTTATTACTAAATATTTAAAGATAGACCAGTAGTACATGGCAAAATTTATATCAGTAATTTGAAATCATTCCTGACCGGTAGAGTTCACCTGATAATAATATTTCTGAAAGTGATATGATGACGTTTGAAATCGACTCACCTAAACAAAGTTCATGTTTAATAGAACATGCTGGAAGCTCTTCAAATTTATAAATGAAACCTTCCGGACAATTTAAAACTTCTACTCCATACTCTGTTAGAAAGCACCCTCTCTCTGGATTAGATAATCCTAGTTTGCTTCTACTATAACCTGGAAAATTATCAATATTTGTTGTTCACTGATGGATTATTATAGTTAAAAGTCACAAAACCAAAGTCCAGATGTTCAAGTATTTCTCATAGAAATAGCCCTAATAATTAACATCTAACTATTTATATCTTAAAGTTAAGTATCAAGGTTTATAGTTAAGTAACAATTTATCATAAGTAAAGTAATCCTTATGTGTTTTGAAGCTCACCATTAGCTGATGGATGTCTACCCATAAGGGCAAGTCCACTTTCACATTCATAGCAGCTATCTTCTATTGAATGTGATTCAAAATGATACCTGAATTAATTTGTGTTAGCATCACTGTTCTGAAAGTCAATTTCTACATTAAACAAATAAATGTATGTCAATTTTCAATTCGGTTTGGATTTTTCTTTTTTTTAAATGCTGATACCCAAGTTTATAAATTACCATGTTCCGTTGTCAATTGAATTCCGGAGACAAGAATCAAAGGTCAATTGACTGTAGTCTAATTTAATAAAATGTTGGCATCCCTCCGGGGTTGTCCCCGAGGAAAGGTCTCCGAGTGTCACTCGATACGCTAACTGAAATAGTTTATCAGGATGAAGGATAAAGAAAATTAAAATAATAAAAAGCTTTACAATTTGTTCCTTTTTGATCGAGTCCTGACTGAGTCTGTCAGTCACTGCTAAAATTGACAGACCCTAGCACTGAGCAAACTCTTGGCAGACAAAGTCTGTAGCAGAGTCTGAGAGAAAGCATGCAGCAGACCTGTTGTTTAACAGGTAGACAACAAGGCTGTTCACCGACTAACTTCATATTAAGTTCATAGACAGTGATATCGCAAATGTTAGGCGAAGAAAAGCTATGCTTTTTAGGTACTCAGTGTTTGCAATTTGTACCTTGAAAAAGGCCGCTATTCTATCATATCTGAACTTGGGGTTTAATAGAATGGCAGAATTTTTCTAGGAATCGTTAAAAAATCCCACGATATTTAACGAAACGAGGACATTCATTAAATTCAGAATTCATGGTGTGTATAATTAACCTTGATAAGAAATCCTAATGAGTATGCATGGTACTTGGGATTACCCTGGCCTGTAATTAAATTCCGCACAGAATACTAGCACACATTTGATTTAGACTTTCGATAATCGCATTTATATAGCTAAAGTAATCTAAATTAATATTATTATATCAGTGTTCATCATTTTTAAAAAATCTGTTTTTTAATAAATACTTAAATAAAAACTTACACTTAATATGAAAAGTGTGCCTATGGCGTTTATCATGACATTTGGTCGTCCAATTGGATCTGAAATAAAAGTTAATGTCAGAAATAATAAAGTTTAAAGTCTTATTCTTAACAACCAACAGTTACATTGATTTATCGCCTTTACACGAAAGCTAAACGTCATAATTTAAACCTCAATATAGATCACAGCCGTCCAAGGTGTAATTAGTCCGTAATGTCATATGGATGACTTAATGTTGTATTTATGTGTAAACTCAGAATAAGCGTGGAACATATAAATGCCTTGCGTGATGTATGCTCAGCATCCCGGCGTTTGGTAACTATCCCGGTCAAAAGATAATAAAGACCCTCGAAAAGATGTATGACTTGCAATTGGACTGTATGAAACAGTATAGAGCTCATGGACAGTATTATAGAGCTCATGGATAATATACATGGTTTTAAATTTCCATCTCCGAAGCTTTCCGAAAATTAAAATGTTTGGCCAACCCTCGCAAACATAATACTTCCGAGCAAATATAGATTTTATATGAATAAAATTCAATTCATGTAACATAGAAAATATTCATAGTTCATGCAAATGCAATAAATTTAAATAATTAGTTTCAGTTCACTTACATTGCGTTCTTGAGTAAGCGCCTACGCTAAATTGATTTGTAGATTCCGTTTGGTTAAATCAATACTTGACCGCTATTAACTAAGAAATGTGCTCATTAAAAGTTCGTAAACAAAAATAAACATTTAAATAAAAGACATGCTCGCAGAAAGAGCAAACAAAGATTTTTGGGCGAATGTATTAAAATGAATACGTTAATGAAACATCACAAAAATACAAAAGCAAAGTTTGATGTTTAGCTACGGTGCATGCTAGCCAAAAGAAATTCATGCTGAAGCTTGTGGCACAGAAAACTCAAGGCACTAAGTTAATAAAATAGGACAGGAAATTAATCATAACGTAAACGAGAGATAAATCATCAAAAACCCTAGTCACGAGCTACACAAGAACTTAATATTAGGTTAAACGAAAATTTATATCGCAACAAACATATGCTGACAATAATGTTGTGGACATGCTGATCTCGTACCTGCAAACTGAAGTTTGCCCCCTCAACGTAGGTTCAATCGTTACAATGTATCACCTTAACATAAATGGGAATCGTTAATCAGAATGAACAGTAATCATCAATTTAGTTCATGACTCATTTTCGAAAATCATAATCATTAATTCGAACATCAAAGAAACTGTTGTGTAATTAAAATAACAAATGATTAATGACGACACACTTAACAAGGCAGGAGAACCGTTAAATATCAATTATACACGTGGTGTTAGGTCACCACGTGGTAATAAATAGCTCACAAACGACAAAGCAGGATCAACAATTGGGTACCAGTATTCAGTTTTTGCTTGATCGCTGAGCTACATGCGGCGGTAGATACGGAAATATGTCGGGTCTAATAAAGTAAATGAAATTCCTAGAGGTCGACTGGAGCAAGAATCACATACCTTCTGGATTCTGGAAGTATGATTTTTATAATAATTTACTTATCTAGCTTACTCATAAGGTACCGTGTGTGTAGAAAGTAAACTAATCATCCAAACTATTCGGTAACCGGATGATATCATGGCTAATCACATTACAGTCTTCAGAGCGCAGACCTTTTCCGAGGGGAAATCCCTCCATCAATTGCTTTCCTCAATAAATAGAATGTAAATATCATTATCCGGAAAAGTCGAGTTTCCGTGAAGATTCCTCAACAGATCATAGTGTTGTCTCACGAAGTAATAACATCAGTGTTAAATCTTTGTAATAGTGGTCCGATTTTCAGGATACACTGAGATATTGATTATTGAAGTGGGACAAACATAATCACTCCTCAGTCACATTCAGTCTGTATTCAATTTACATAACAGTAAGTTAAAGTACTGAAGTTATAACACCATGATCACTATGACTTTGATTCTCGAGTTCAGAAAAAGAGTAAAACACTTATTGTGTATTTAAAAAATCACCAAAAATTTTCACAATTTTTTGGACATTTTTGGGCGGTCATGAGCGTGAATAATTATGTCCGTGAAAATTCTGGTCCGTGAAAAACTTGTCCGTGACAATTATGTCCAATGAAGAGAGTTATATTAATCATTATTTTTACTATGAAATATTCTGTATTGGTATAACTATATTTCACAGGTCAACTATTCAACGGCCATTTAATGATATCCGTATCAGATTATTCAGGGTAGTGCACACCCAATATGAGGACAGGTCACTGGAGACTGAGAAGAATTCCTTGGTCCTTTGTATGGCAAAGCTAAATTACAGTATCAATTAAGACTGCAGAGACCATATTATTTGAGTGAAAACATTCAGTACGACAACATGTTAACGATATATTTTTGGCTCAAGTAATTTACTAAACAATGAATTTACTTATAACTAATTAAATCTTTAAGTCGATAAACCACAATATAAATTGATGTAATATCCTATTGAAGCTAAAGCCACCCCATCACAGGTTTAGAACTACTGCTTCTAATAACTATTAAATGTATTATATGTATGTGAAAATTCAGGAAGTTTAATCTGTAAAGTTTAGTCTGCGAAAATAACGTACGATAAGGTGTATTAATATAATCTCACGAAACATTGTATATGGTACGATATTTCGACTGATTTTAAATCTGAAACACTCGTACTTAGTAACTATTGTCACCAACAAATTTAAAGTCACAATCGAATTGTTTACATAAACTATCAGGGGTTGGGTTGAACTTTAAACGTAACGTAAAAGCATCTTACATAACAGTGAAAAGTTAAATTCTAGAACAGACCCATTCATTTAGAACAGTCCTGAGAATGTTAAACGTATCGGGGGTCGGGGGATTTTCATAAACGAGTGAACGAATTTAAGATTTGGCTGCCACAAGAAGTGCCACTACAGTGCCACTACAGTGCCACTTCAATGCCAGTGCCGGGGTATTGACAGCGAGATACTGATAAAGGATCCATAATTGATAACAGCCGATCAAAGCAAACGGTTGTAACGAAATATCTATAATCAACAGGTAAACACGTTTGATTTCGTACGGACCCATCATTCGTGATAAGTCTAATGTGTAATGAATCACTGTAAATAAACTAACCCCGGTTAATACCGTTTGTGATCGTAACTGCTACCTAGTTGATAAAGCAGAATAGGCGTCATGGGACTACTCAAAACACATATTCACATCCAAGAAGACAGATCTCTGGTTGCCGTCATCAATGTTAGAATCTTGGGTAGATACACATGTATCATCAATCGTAATGAACTAGTAATTCGGAATTCGATAATCCGTCTGTGAACAGTGAACACTTAAGGCACGGTTGAGGCACGGTTACGGCACAGCTAAGGTACGGTTAAGGCACAGTTAAGGTACGGTTAGTTTGCTCTGCAATTATTAGGTCTGACTACAGACGAGTTCTACAAAGTGATCGGTTAAAATAAACATATCTCGGGAACCAACTAATGAAACACAACACTAATCACAGCAACTTATAATAAACATTGATATGACTGAACGGTTTCCATTTAAAATCTAGTCTTGAATCTTTGAGCTGAGTTTCCAGTTGATTCGTATGCTTGTTATAATTGCGATTCTAGTAGAATCTTTTCCAAAAGTTTGAACACTTTCGTTTTCTGTTAGCAGATAAAATAACCAAGTCACCACTATGCTATGTCAGAGTGACGTCAGAGTGACGCCTCTCTTGTATAACACAATCTAATTGAAACTTTAAACCAAAAAGACAGCATTTACCGAGCTAAGTAGCTAACATAAACAATCTGAGATAGAGAGTAAATCTCAACAATCACGTACAATGTACGGTGCATATTTTGAAAAAATGTGATAACTGTAACCTTGAAATTGAGTAATAGATTTGAGAAGCTTACGTTTCATTTCTCGATAACATGCAAGTGAACTTTAGTGAAAGCAAGCAAGACATACAAATGTCGTCTAGATAGACATCAGAGATACAGTTATCCATTATATCATCCCTCAACAAAACACAAAAAAGTTCTCGACCGAACTAAAGCACTGTATTTGGCATGCAACGCTGTGTGCGTTCTATACATGTGCATATGAAATGGCTGGCGTAACCCTCGTCTATTGGCCACGGTAATTGTATACTTGAAACTGCACTGATATTAGTTATATCGGTATGTGGCTTACAATCATGATTCATGATTGCTGTAAAGTTGACTCTGATAATTCATGTTTTCATGTTACACAGACCAAAACTTCACTTACAAATCCACACAATTCTTAATACTATCCTTTACTTCTAATATAATTATCATCTACTTGAAACATCCCACAAATTCATATATGTCTTACCTGGGGACCTCAGGCTATCATGTTCATAAATAGAGATTCGGCGGAATGACAGGCTGAGCGCGGCCCAGTAATATATGTCTCGTTCTGAAGACTAGAGACTTGCCCAATATGTTGATTGTTGGATATGGTAAGCAGGTAATCGACTGTTCAATGTAGATAACCTTGACTACCGTAAACAAACAGTTCCGTCAGGTCTTGTAAGTATAATATAGTAGTAGATTCCAAACACAAGGAAATTTTCCTTCTGGTTGGTAATATACTCAATGATGGGAGTATAGTGTATTGGCTATGCCCCGCTTACTAGTTTAGCTCTTTCTAGTCCCCTGCTACACGGCATGTAAACAGGGATTGGCTAGTTAGAGGCGGTCCGTGTAGGCCTTACACTGTGCTTTCAGCAATACTCATAAGTATTTCCGTGGCTGTGGTTGCAATGCGCCTAGTCTACTGGAATGATTCTTCGGAATTTCGCTGGATTGTACAACTTTCGTCTTGGTAGATTCCAAACACAAGGAAATTTTCCTTCTGGTTGGTAATATACTCAATGATGGGAGTATAGTGTATTGGCTATGCCCCGCTTACTAGTTTAGCTCTTTCTAGTCCCCTGCTACACGGCATGTAAACAGGGATTGGCTAGTTAGAGGCGGTCCGTGTAGGCCTTACACTGTGCTTTCAGCAATACTCATAAGATCTTAGAGGTCTTATAAGAGGTCTTATAAGGTCCTTGTGTGCCTGATTTACCACTGGTAACCTAGTGTATTACATTCCTCGGGTTTAACTCTCAGCTTGGAAAATTAAGAATTGGCTCATTGAATGGTGCTCACTGTCTACATTACAACATCGACATAACACTGCTGGATATTGTCTTTAAAAATATTGCAAGCTGATTCATGGCCACAGGAGATAAATATGATAAACAATTCTACCCAAACCACTTAGGATCAATTATCTTTCCATGCTCTAACCTACAGTCACAAGTCACATACAACATAGCGAACTCGTTTCACTAAAATGAATACCTTAGTTCGTTTATTTATGGCGGGCAATATTGTGGCGGAATTTCCGAAAAACCGTCCAATGTATATTTTGTAACCCGCCATAATTAAATGAACTAAGATAAACCACAACAATCAACACAATCATTCAAAAGGTGCATTTTAATTGATGCATAATTAGTTTACTCAATCGATCTGGGAACAAACGACCCAAACCAAAAATGCATAATAGAAATGAAGCCCGAATATTAATAATACGAAAACAAGGTGAAGAAGGTGTGCAAAAATCCGGCGCCACGCACACGTAAAGGATAATGTTGGGGGTAAAT